TAGTCAATACTCGTATTTAGACTATAGTCCTATCCTACGAATTAACACTCACTTTGACGTTATTCCTCCTCCGATACGTGGAAGTGACAATAGTCGAAACGGACAATCGGCAATTTGGATCTCCTCCTCTTGAAGTTTCACGGTTTGCCATTACCAAACCTCCTCGGATCCGGAGTGTAGGCTAACTGCCAGTATGGAGCTAGTCGAATGAGCGAGACTTATTTGACATCTCAACTTCAAATACAAAACTAGTGTTTGTTGGGAGAAAGAAAAAACCAAAAAAGAAATGGAGTGCGTCGTTGGTAGAGTGTAGACACACGTTCATTTCATGATCTAATGGTATCTGAAAAGAGAAATTGGACATAAGAAAAGCGAAATTGGTCTGAGCTGAATTCTAGACATGACATGGACGACGGAATGTCATGCGTAGGTTTGTCGTAGATGTGTCAGGGAGAGAGGCTTTGGTGAAGACCATCCATCGATCCAAGTACGAACTATTGTTGAAGACCACCATCGATCCAGGTCTGTCCCTGTCAACTCTTTATTTTTAGGAAGGTTTAGACAATCGTCTCAGTGTACATTATACTATGTATGATGTAAATCTTTTCATATCTTTTGATTTAATCGTTCAGGATTTTGACTTTTGCCTCGGTCTGTCCCTGTCAACTCCTTATTCTTCGGAAGATTCAGACAATCGTCTCAATGTATCTTATACTATGTATGATGTAAATCTTTTCATATCTTTGATTTAATCGTTCAGGATTTTGACTTTTGACTTGATCTGTTAAAAATTACACTGCAATTTAATGGTCAACACTATTTATATTCTTCTAGCTTGAATATTTTTCTGATCTCAAATGAGTATATAGACCTCTTAAACATACTTCAAACATAATAAACAGTATATGTACTCTTCCTTACTTCCAATTCAAAAGTATATGTATTGATCCTTACGCCTAATTCAAAAGTTCCATGTATAGTTAAAAGAACTTAAAGAACCATTTGTTAGATTCATTTTTGTATAGTTTCTCAAAGAGTACAGGTTTGCATCTTGGTAGAATTAGTTTCTGTGATGTTTTTTATCGTAGTATGTTTTCATTCATCAAGTGAATAGGGTCTTCTTTTCCTGAATCTTGACACTTTTTCTATCTCATGCAAAAAGTCTGACGCTAATGTTTTCTATGTTTGGAATGTTTTGTGGTTGGAGAAGTCAAGTTCGTCACTCTTAACGATGTTAATATCTCCTGCATCAAAACGTCACTGTACAGAGGATCTGTTAGTGACCACGTTAAAGCGGGATCCAAGTCTAAAATTAACCATTTCTTCCTACCCAGCCTCTCAGAGGTATAGAATTCGGAAAGCTTATATATCTAAAGGGTCAATTCAACCACAACGGTCAAAATATCCTTATGTAAAACAGGGTGCTAGATTTCGTCATTTTTGTTTTCAATGGTTTGCTTTGCATACTTGGCTTGAATACAGCCTTGCAAAGGATGTTGTGTATTGCTTTCCTTGTTAATTATTGGCGCAGGATACGTAGGCTTCAAGACAATTTGTTAGTTAAGGTGTTACAAGCTAGAACAAAATTACGGGTGAACCTAAACCCTAGAGTATTAAATTGGCAAACATGTTGGAAAACACACTTTAGCTCACTCTTTGCATTTTATTGCTTGGAAGTCATTACCGAACCAACGTTTTTCAATTGAAGCCACAGTAGATCGTCAATCTGAACAGCAAAAAGCTGATCACAGACTTCGGTTAACCGCATCTATTGAGACAGTGGGATTTTTGGCTCATCAATGTCTTGCTTTTCGTGGTCATGATGAGTCTAAATAGTCATTTAATCGTGGGAATTTTCTTGAGCTAGTAACTCTTCTCAATTAGCATTCTGTAGATTATCAATGTGTTTGCCTTGATCGTGCATCGAAGAATGCGACGATGACATCTCCAGACATCCAAAAGGACATACTAAGGGCCATGGCTTCATGTGTAAGAGAACATATTGTGAAGCAAATCGGTGATAGTTTTTTTTTGTTTGCTGATTGACGAGGCACGAGATGAATCGACAAAGAGCAGGTGTCTTTAATTCTAAGGTTTTTTGACACTTCTAGAGTAATTCAGGAGAGGTTTTTGAATATGATCCTTTTTGCTAATACAAGTTCAGAATCGTTAATGGTTGCCATTGTTTCCACTTTGAGTCGACACGGTCTTTCGTTATCGTTATCTTTCATATCCTTGTCCCGTGTACGAGGACAAGGATATGATGGAGCATCTAATATGCATGGAGACATTAATGGGTCGAAGACTATGATCCAAAGAGAAGTACCCTCAGCCTACTATGTTCATTGTTTTGCACATCGACTTCAACTTGCTTTGATATCAGCAGCCAAAAATCATATCAAAGTTTGCCGGTACTTTGTTGAATTGTCATCATTATGTGTCACAGTAGTTGCTTCTTGTAAACGTGCGGATCAGTTTTGAGAATTGCAGTCAGCTAACATCCGTGATGCAATTGTTGGCGAAGAAATGAAAACAGGTCGCAGATTAAATCAAGAGCAATCACTACGACGGTCATGAAAAACAAGATGGAGAACTCACTTTCTTTCTATTTGTCGAGTGCTTGGTCTGTATGATTCAGTTGTCAAAGTTCTTGAAACTATTGTGGAAGATGCAACTGTTACAGATTCAAAAGCAGAAGCGTCAAGATTATTAGAAGTGATATGTTCCTTTGACTTTGTTCTAATGTTACACATTGTGAAGGCAGTTTAAGTCAAGTCTACAGTTCTTTAGGAAGCTTTACAGCGTAAGAACCAAGACATCCTCAACGCTATAGACCTTGTTGCTGTTTCAAAGTATGAATTGCAAGTAATGAGATCAAAAGAAGGATGGAAGACTATATATGAAGCGGTTCAATCTTTTTGTCTTGCAAAAAACATCGTTGCCCCTGATATGGAATCATGTTATGTGCTTACGGGTAGTACTCGTCGCAATGCTGACAACATAACATGTGATCATTATTATCGTGTGGAGATCTTCTTCAATATCGTAGTCTCACAATTAAATGAGCTTGATGACCGTTTTCTTGAATGTTCGTCTGCATTGCTCACACAGATTGCCTATTTATACCTAGATCACCTTCAAATTCATGGAAATGTCTCAAAGCTAGTTGAATTGGAGCGGATGTATCCAGATGACTTTGATCAATATGATTTGGTGATGTTAGAACAATAGATTCTGCAATTTAGCATAGAGTTGAAGTTAAACGAAGCTTTTTCGAAATTTAATCTCTTTCTGCTATAGCTATAAATATGTTTGAACTCAAGAATTCTATTACTTATCATCTTGTTTTTCGACTAATCAGTTTGGTTTTAACTTTACCTGTTAGCACTGCGTCAACTGAACGTTTGTTCTCAGCATTGAAGATTGTGAAAATGCGGTTGAGGAACAAAATGGGAGATGGTACCTTGCTGACACTATTAGTTTGTTTGTTGAAAGAAAGTTAGCACAAGGAATCACCACCTACGTTTTTATCGAAAAATTTCAGACACTCAGCACTAGACGTTTGCAGTTGGATTAATACATTGAGTTCAGTTTTTTTACAGTTTGGATTTTTTGTTCTGAATTCTCTGTCATGAGTAACAAGAGTTTTAGTTTTCACGCAGTGTAGTTGGATTAATACATTGAATTCAGATTGTTTCCAGTTTGGATTTTCTGTTTGGAATTATGTGTCATGAGTGACAGGAGTTTTAGTTTTCACACAGTGTAGTTGGATTAATACATTGAATTCAGATTGTTTACAGTTTGGATTTTCTGTTTGGAATTCTCTGTCATGAGTGACAAGAGTTTTAGTTTTATTACAGTGTAGTTGGATTAATACATTGAATTCAGATTGTTTACAGTTTGGATTTTCTGTTTGGAATTCTCTGTCATGAGTGACAGGAGTTTCAGTTTTATTACAGTGCAGTTGAATTAATACATGGAATTCAGATTTTTTTATAGTTCGGATTTTCTAACATGAGTGATAGGAGTTTTAGTATAGTCACATTGCATCTAGATTACTACATTGAGTTAGGATATTTTTCAGTTCTGAAATATCTATCATGAATAATAGTAATTTTGCTTGTAACGGAGTTCAATTTTGTTAATACACGGAATTCGGTATTTTTGTGCAATTTAGATCTACTTTTGTGTTATGGGTTAGAGTAGTGTTAGATTTAGCAAAGTGCAGTCGGATGTATATAGAAAATTTGGTATTTCTACAGTGTGGATTCAATTTTTGAATTCTCTATAGTGGAGTTTGGTTTTAACGTAGTTCTGTAACAAAATGAGCTAAAAAATTTCCCCTGCGGCGCTACCTACCAGGCTGCCCCCCTCCTGACAAATCCTGGCTCCGCCCCTGAACCTGGACACAATCATTGCTGAAAAATCTAATGACACTATTAACAATAGTGATGTGCTGTTATTATTGGATAGAATTATCTGATAGAAACCATTGGTTATTCATTTTCATGTCACTAATGAGAGTATGTCACTCACACGAGTTGACACTATTGGGAGATTTAACTTTGTACACACAAAGTAGATCTTCGTGAGTACCTAAAAAAAGTGACGGGTGAACAAAGGCAAATAACAAATGCGCATTTGCATGAAACTTGAAATAAACTACACACTACCAAATTTTTTATTTAAGATTATTGCGATTCCTTTTCGGGCCGCCGTTAGCCCGCTTATGAATACCTACAAATCGTAGCCAGTCTCAATGCTGTCCTGGCGCCCTATGCTCTTTGCACTGGAATAACTATAGTAGGGTTTGAAACTCTTGGGCTCCATTGTTTCAGGATCTTATTACCGCATGGAGTACCCTTGCGGTTAGCACCTCTCTTAGTACTTCTTGAGCTAATCCCTTATTGTTTTCGCGCATTAACCTTAGGAATACGTTTCTTTGCCAATATTATGGCTGGTCATAGTTTAGTCAATATTTGTAGATAAAAACAACAGCTTGAAAACTGAAAGACATTTTTTAATATAAACTCTAAAATGCGTAGCACAGGAAAAAATTGCCAGACATTGTGCTTTAACTATCCCAACCTCTGTGTGATACCACACACTACTCTTGCCATCGACTGTAGAACTCTGAAATAGAATCTATTTCAACAGATATCCTGTCACACCATGAATGGGGAGCAAAGAGAAGCTTCTGCCGTATATGAGTCTATATGGATGAAATTGTTACATCTTCTACCGCTGCAAACTGGCTCTAGAAAATAACTAACTGTTTCTGTACTCAATTTGTATAGACCCAGAAATTGGACAGATACGTAATTATGCTCCTACTTGAGGGCTGCCGCTTGAACCTCAACTTGTTCCACGTCGAGGACTATGGGAGTGTCCTTTCCAAAAACTGTCACGAGTGCTTTTACCTGTAATGCCCAAAAACTAAGCGTTACATCGGTACACATCACAAAACCACACAAAGTGCAGAAAACACTAATTATGCTATCACAACGAAGAAAGGATTTCTCGAAGGCAACCATAAGTTACTGCTATCCTCCAAGTTCCAGAGAATACCTTTTCAACGTCAGGGAGAAGTTCGATGACGATGCCTGTGAACTCCGTGAAAGGGCCAGACAATACGCGTATTGTGGCCCCTATTTCTAGCTGAAGGGCTTCAGCGTCCAGAATCTCTTTCTCCAAGGCCAGTCTCTCTTTCTCCAAGGTCAGTCTGTTTTCTTCCTCCAGCTCTTTCCTGCATTGTTCCTTGAATAGCAGAAAGTCCTCCTCTTCCTCCTTAATTTGCCTGAACATGTTTTCCATGTTTATGTGCGACACAGGAGCGGGCATGATCATCGGTTGATAGCTGCCAAGAACAACACAATGGAGTAGCGAAACTTGCGTGAGTTATGACAACAATCTCCTGGCATTAAAAGATTGTAAGCGACTGATTTGATCATATCTATGAACTAAGGTGACACCAATGTTATATAACCTTGTTAGAATGTAAATTTATAGCCGTGTTTCAAAAATGGATTATATCGAGTACAGTTTCGTATGTTTTATCAAGATATCTACAAAAATCAGCGAAATGTATCGACCTGAATTTATAACAACGTCCATTGTAACACAACCAATTACAGCTGATCCGAATTTTCAATCCATTCTATCCAGAGAGCCTACGAATTCGAGGAACTTCACACAACATAAAAATTGAGTCATCCAGATTACCTTACGCCAGCCAAATTGCCAAAGAAATCGTATGCTCTTGGTATTCGCCTCACAAGGTCGTAGACGTCCCTGTCGAAGACACAACGAAGGAGTACAATACCCTGGAAGATTTTTCTTCTTGCATCAGAGACAGTTCCATCTTTCAGCTTGATTTTCGTAGGCAGAGTGGGCACAAGTACCTGCAAACCAACATTACAAATTCATTTTAGATTCACTGCAAGAGCTCAGACGGTTGGCAGGCGAATGAGGTGCTCCGGAGACAAGATCAGCAGACTCAAGACGAAGCTATTCTCAGATTTTGCAGCTCAGGGACGATAAAATGTAAAGTTACGTCCAACGTGTGGTAAAAGAAAGCATGGGAAAAGGCAAATCTCTCACCTCAAATTCCCTGTCAGGAAAAGCCTCGGCGAAAACGATTTCTAATTGTTCTGCCACTTGGTTTTCGTACTTTCTTGTGGTTTGAATCATCCACCACTGCATACCCTTCACTTTCAGCTGGTTAACATCTGCGTCCGCCTCCCAACCTTTGGCCTTCTTCGGCTTGGAAAGCCACTTGTTCTCGACCATCTCCTTCCATGGCTCTTTCGTGGCCTTCAATTCCTCTCTTCTCTCATTCCTCAGCTTCCTCCTCTCTTTCGCTGATAAATTCTCGGAACCGGCCTTCTCTTTTTCTCCGGATGGAGTTTGAACCGAGGTCGAAAAATCAGAAAATTTCGGAGCTTGGAAGGAGCTACGACAAGTTAATACCCTACCATCTAAAATACGAAAATTCGACCGCGAAGCACCCGACTGGCGCCCTCCAACACTTACACCACAAGCCGAGAACCGGCTTGCCAAATGCTGCTGCATTCCCCCAGAAGCGCGAGAACTCCGCGGACAGTCATCAGCGGAAAGAAAAGAACAGGAGACCGGCGAGGGACAGCCAATTGCAGGCGAATTGCACCTGAGAACATCCATCTCCGCGCGTCAGCAGGCTCTCATCCCCTCGGAGGATCAACCGACACTCAGCTGATGGAAACTTGCACCATAGCCACTACGACTTCGCACACCGCCCGGCGAGTCAATCCCAAAGACAGCGCCCGCGAAACGCCCGAATTCATTGCTCGGGTGCGTCGTTCGTCCTTCGCCAGCACATCACGAACACAGCCTCGATCATAATCACACAAAGAGCTGATTGCCGTCGGCCTGGAGGAGCTGGGGGCCGAATTGGCAGCAGGGGTGGATTCGTGCATAAACCTCGAGGCGAGAAGGGGCCGAGGCTTCGACTTTGTCGCTCTCGGCCTCATCCAAACCGCGCTCTACGATTCCGACTTCAGACACCGCGGCCGCGTTGAAACCAAGATCAGAGGTCAGCCGGTTGCCACATTACCAGACGACCCGGTCGCCTCTCGCAGTGCTGGTTCTCAGTACACAGATCCTTATCATTTAGTGATTGTATCATCCCTTCAAATGCTGGACACATTTGTTATGTAGTCCGTGCCTTACTATAGATGCAGGTTTCGTGATAAATATTTTTAAAGAATTTTGGTTTTTTTCTGAAACCTGGGCCGAAGTACATAGCAAGGATGATAGCACACGAGTAACATAGGCTAGACCAACTGGAAAAAATGTCCAAACTGCGTATTGTTCAGCTCAATTTTCTACAAGTAACAAAAGTAACAATCTATTTGACTGTGTGATAGTTATGCTGTAGTATTACTAATATAACAGATTATACCAAACCTGAAAAATGTATTTCCTATTTCAAAAATTAAATGTTACTTCTTATTAATATCAAACAAAATATCTCCATCTATTTTGTAATAATATAATGTGTAAACGTTAAACTTGTAAATGTACAAAAGTTACAAATGAAATTGAATGATGTTTCAAGAATTCCACATGCAATTGAAAGTCACTCATACACTACATAACAACACTGAAAATATGTGGCTACATCCGTGAGAACATCTGAGGCATAAAACTGCAAGTGTCAACATATAAAATCCAAAAGCTAGCTTTACTGATTTTCTAATATAATGACAATATTATGATGTTTTCAGGTTTTAAGTTTACCTCTACACACCAGGGTTTTACATTTCCCCGGGAATAGCTAACTGACTTTGGGGATAGGGGGTGAGATAGGGGAACAATCGAAGGGAACCGCCCGACTACTTCTTGCTAACAGGGAGCTACACCCCGAGGCTTTTTAGGTTAGAACCCGGGGACACCCCCTTGTAAATGTCACTTTATTGTATGAATTTCCGGAGCACTGTGAAATAAATAGTGGACTGAAGAGCTTTCAATCCACTGTTCGTCCTGCGGAAAAGCAATTGCTTCACTTCCACTCGCGATTATGTAATTAATGAGTCATCAATATCGATTGACTCTGTTTGAGCGGGCATATATGTAACCAAACACGCATCCAGTGCCTTGCACTCTTATGAGCATATTTTGCTTTTAGTATATACGCTCTCATATCTTTTGAATGAGTAAAGTGTTTTCGTACAGTGTACAACATGGCTGACAAAGCCAGACCTTCACGGCCAGCGATCGATAACTTCCTCTTGCGGAGTACTGTAGCTGCTATTCAAAAAGTGATATCTCCACAATAATCCAGCCCGGCACAACAACAACCGAAGAAACGTAGCAAGTTTGCTTGCGTACATCAGCGACTTACACAAAGTCTAGGGTTGACAAGGTCCACACATCAGTCCATCTCTACGCAAGGTACTGGGCAGTAATTGAAACCTGACTTGATCATCTCAACTTCATCATATGTAAGGCTTTTATCAATGTTGAATCAAATGCCAGCTTGTTACAGGTGATAGCGCATCTACAAAGCCTAGCACAGACGGTGCTTCAGCCAGCAGCCCTCTTACTTGCAGCTAGATTGCAACTTGTCGAGTTCTTGAATTACCCCTTGGGCAATATGTGAGATGCAGTGTTGGGAAAGTCCATCATCTTTGTGCCGCTGAAAATATCGCCAATCAATTGGAGCTCGACCTTGGACAAATCCAGTAGTGCATTGATTGCGGCGTTGCAGATGAAGAGGTCAAGCTTTTTGTTGCACCGGGTAAGAAAATATTATTGGTAGTTGTTTTGAAGCAACACAAACCTTATTAATCTCAATCATATATGAGTAGTTTTTTGTCTCTATTTGCAGACCAGAAGCCAAGCGGGTTGGCAGGAAGTGACAATACAACCACAGCATATAATGTTAGTAAGAAGAAGAAGAAGTATACTGCCTCAGATTTGGCGATGCAAAGTTGGATGGAGAAGTATGCATGGGCTACATTAATGGGCAGGAAAGACTATTAAAATTCCATGATTTGCACAAGATCACAAGCCGCGAATAACTTTGACTCCAAGATCGGCGATGTTTGCAAAGATGCAAGTGAGTATATATATGTTTTTGGATTTTCTAATACTTGTATAAGTGCAAAGCAGATACTACAGTGTATGGGAGTTTTTACATGGGTGTGATCTGATGTTTTCTTATGTAGGCTACGTCAACGATCATGCTTCATTGACAAAGCATAAGGGAGCCGCGTCAAAAGTGAAACAGCGACAAGGGTTTCAAAAGAGCAGAACAATAGCTTTGTCTCATTCACAAGCAGAAATACATAAACTTTTGCACACCGCGTTTTCCCTGGCGCGGCTAGTTATATTAAACAATTTGATGGAATAACCTCCTTAAAATCTTCTATTTATCCTAATTCTGCTCCTTTTTCACGCTCTAAAGTAGTTTCAAGATTACTGTTAACTCTATTCACCAATAACTTTTCACGAAGTAGTTCTTCATCGCAGACAGTACTTGTTGATGATGTTTTAACATCTTCATCATCACTCCTTTCCATTGCTCTCTCTTTTCCGTCTCCTCGATCACAAATGTTGTTTTTTCACTTCAAAAGTTCTGCCCTATTATTCTATTCTACATATTACTCTCAAGATGAACAAATGGGTTCAAACTCTATCCGCTAACTATTATTCTTTATTTTAAGTTCCCTTTGTCTTTGCGCTGTGTCTTATCTTCACCTACCTCTATGTACTCGTAGATTTCATAAAATTGTCTAGTTTCCTATCATGCTAGACAGATTTGGAAGCTTCAACCGTAGTTCTATTATCTTTCTTCTTTGCGATTCCTTCGTCTTTCCGTTTTACTATCATCTTTTTTATTTGTGTCTCTTTCATCTTTTCATTCCACTTTTGCGTGAGCTCCACGCTCACTACTCAAAGTGGAGACTTCACTAGCAATTCAAACAAAGATTTCAAGATATATTTTTAGCAGTCTGTTGTTGATGCAAAGATTTGGTGTGTGCTTGAAATGAAATTTTTTTCATCATATATTATAATATTGTAGTGAAGATATTGTATTTGCAGTTGTCATTGTCAAAGACAAAAAATACAATCTCATGACAATAAAATGCATAAAAATGCTTTCCATTGTCAAATCTAGCCTTAAGGAGCATTCAAAATTCTCTTCAACATCATCCAGACTATTGGCACTAGATCAAGAGAGTTTATTTAGGATAGCACGTAACGACAATGAATATTATTTTGTGAGACCGGCGGATGAATTGACTTTGGAAGATTTGGAGCTTACTTTTGACAATAATGATGTTTTTCATAGAGATTTTGATAAATAGTTTGATTTCGTCAAATACATACTAGAGTTTTCTCCAAATGCCATCATATATGTAGTGGAGACAGATGTGGAAATAATAGATGAAGAAGATTGTAGTGTAGATGATTTTTTATCTTGACATTTTCCGTTTTGACATTTCATGTCAAAAGTCAGCTTTGAATTGTAAATTGTGTATAATGTGAGATGTTTTATAACTAACAAATGTTGCACTTTCAATTTACAAAATGATATATAGGTTTCGTTGTTTTATTTAGTTTGAGACTGTATATTGTGTATACTATGAGATGGTCTATAACTAACACCTGTTCTCACTTTTCATTTACGAAGTGATTTTTTGGTTTCATTATTTTGTTTAGTTTGTGACTGTATATACCGCATACTGTGAGTGGGTCTATAATTGTCAACTATCTGCACTTTCCATTTACGAAATGATTTTCTGGTTTAATTTTTTTGTTTAGTTTGTAACTGTCTATTGCGTATACTGTGATATGATTCACAATTGAGACATGTTTGCACTTTGCATTTACAAAGAAGATTTCTGATTTCATTGTTTTGTTTAGTTTAATATTATATAATATGTATGTACGTAAAATATATGTATTGTAATACTTGCATGTCTGGAGGCATGGACATGACTTTTAAATTGAAAAGAATCATGGGCATGCCTAAAAAAAATATGTTGTGACTTCAACACTACACATAGCTTGATTGTTTTTGCTCCAAAATTTTTTTTTACAAATGAAATAGACAAGATTCGAAAGCATGACGTTTATTGTCTATCTCCCTCATCAAAATCTGCATCGTTTGCACTAAATACTCGTTCCCATTATCACTCATTCCAACAACATCCACTCCTTCACCTTAGTGTTTCTCCTAGACTCTTTGAATATACTTCAAAAAATCTTGAATTACGGACGTTAAAATTCATGTAACAAACCTAAATTATTGTTGGATCAACTTCTTCTCGTTTTGAATACCAAAAATATCAAAATTGTTGTAAGTCTCAGAATCTATACTTATCATATTACTCCTGCACTACAAAGTTGGAACTACCTCTAAACCATTTCCTAATTCACATAATTAACTTTCGACTAAACTAATAATACTTAATGTTATTTCATCTAAACTTTGGAGTTTTTTTAAAAAAAATTTCCTTCTAACTTGCGAACATCAGTGCTATCATTTTCGGATTTTACGTTGCCCAATGGCTAACCATATACTTTGTGTTGACTTTACAAGTGGATGTTTGTGTTGACATTTTGATGTGTTTGCATTTTTCGTGTGTTTGGCCACTCTTTTCTTGTGAAAATTTGCAACATTTAGAATTTTTCAACCTAAACTCTAACCTAGGTGAAGTAAGTTACAAGAATTTTATAATTAACTCCTAACAATAATGACACATTATTCAAGAATCACATAAATGGAAAAATGACACTATCAGTCTCCAAGATAAAGATAATATTAACACATGGGTAGTTTATCATGATTCTATTCGCATCACAAAATCACATCCTAATGATATCCCACCTTCCCAATCTCAAAACAATTGAGTACTAAAAATCTTCATAATTGTCAAATCTAAAATCTTTGAATTTCCAACT